CCATGTACTTATTTTTCTTTTCTGTACAATAAAAAGGACAATACTTTTCCATCCATTAATGCACTTTACGCAATACCTGCATACTTGGAAACTGAGCTCAAGAGTTCCACTAAAAAGTTATTACTTGTACTAAAAGTAGATTTTGAAAACCGTTTTATAGCAAGGTGGTAGGATGTTTATTCTCTAAAATTATTTAAATATTTTTAAAAAATAATATAAAAATAAATTTAAAAATAGTTAAATAATTTTATAAATAGGACGACATACAATTCGTATTGTAAACCAGTTTCCTCAAGTAGATTACCCCACGTCCCACTCCCGTTGGGGCCCTGACTAACAGTGGCATTTTAATACGGACAGCCAGGAGAAACATCCAAGAAGCAACCAGGCTTCTTGTGTTCCCACTACACCGCAACGCTTCTTGCCGCCGTCGGAAGAAACCGCTCCCTGATACGTTACGAAACCGATTTCTCCGAAGGACAAAACGCGACTCCTTGTCGAAGCAGTTAACGCCGATGAGGTCCGGCCTTTCCCACCCTCTGTTCCTTACACCAGCTTCCTCTTATCTCCGATAGGGTTGATGCCTATATCGATGACGCTTGGTGGGTCGGAAGTGTCACCACCAAGGTCGATCCTAACCACATGGTGAGGCTCGATTCTACCGGGAACGAGGTGCATTGTGCTTTCTACAGACTGAGGGTTAATCTTGAATTTCAAGACGGCAAATGGTTCTATGTTAAAGATGGGTATGCCCTTCTTGTTCTTGAATTCTAGTTACTCCTGTTGCAATCTCCATATTGCCTGTTTGATTTCTTTCCAAGATCAACTCAATTGATCAAAACTGGAGCTTTAGGGATTTTAAACCATAGATGGGTTTAACTCTTTCTTGAAACAAAAAGAAAATAAAAAATGTCCCTTTTAAGTGCTTTTTATATTTTTTGGATTTGGGTTATCCCTTAACTCACCCTGCCTGCTCGCATGCCATGCAAAACAACGGGAACTCTGGACCTCATACTTTCAATGAAAAGAGATTATGATTAAGTTATTTAAGTCCTTGGTAAATGCTTGATTGATGTTGAATTACTCTGTTTCAATCAATGACTACTAAGGACTGACTCAGTAAATTCAATTTTGCAGGCCTCAAAATGATAGTAATCAAGGGAAGGGTGGAGAGCAAGAAGGGCAGCTACAGAAGCAAAATGATAGTAGTTACCAAGCAAATGCACAAGAGCAACAAAGCTAGTGTGGGGTTCTGCATTTGCTGTTGTAGTGGTAGCAGAACTATCTCTATTAAGAGATTAGCTCGTTTTTCTTCCTCCTTCCACAAATTTCATTATGCTGGTAGCATATATATTGGCAATAGCATTTGATGACAAACATATGAAGGTATGGAATCAATCAAGTTTGTTAATTCTAATCCTACGCCACAGGTGTTGCGTTCTTATGAATACTATTTTCTTTTAGTACATATTCTTAACGCCCCGTGGTTAGCTTAGTTCTTGTCAAGTTTAGAATGAATGGCATAAAGCAAAAAAGAATTTTATTCTTGTATATGCTGGTGTTTTTCCAGTGATGAATTCCTTCCATTATTCCATACCGGTTTTTAGCTAAACTAGATCGTAATTACTATGAAATCGGATGTAAAATAGCATGACGGAGGTTATTTATGCTGAACTTTATCGGACAGACATATACTCAAGCACAAGGAGCCGCTTAGAAACTACTTTTAAAGTTCTTGTACCATTTACTGCAGATATAGAAGGTCTCATTTCCTGTTCTAGTCTTTCATTTTTGTTCCTACTTCTACACTACTGGCTTTAGCATATAATCATTGATTCTTAACTCTTTCTTGTTTTGGGTTTTCTCTCAACCATGAAACTTCAGTCTAATTAAGGAAAAATCAATTGATATCTCAATAGTCAAGACACTCTAGATTAACATCCACTAAATATGTAGTATCTTACATCAAAACCGTTACTGATTCAGATGATCAACTCCCCAATTTCACAGCCCCTTGAGAGTTTCCATACTCAAATGGCTTGTATGTACATACGCTTCCTCGTGCTTCTCATCTCTGCCATCTTCCTCCTCTACGCTCTTGGTCAACTTGCCCTGATCTCAGTTTCCATCAATTAAATTCGATTCTGGCATCATCTCATTCTATTGATTGATTGTTCCCTAGTAACATCACACAGGTATTCCCATAATCAGTTGATCAGTTGTACATATCTCCAGGGAGTCCAGGAAGCATGATATGAGTAAATCATTGATCTTCATGCTGCTCTGCAGTATGGAAGAAGTACCCCCTATGAAATATCTATTTATTTGCCCTCCAAATCATAGATAGTTGTGTATAATTATCATATAAGATACGCATATAAGTAATAATTAAGGAAAATATATATAAAAACGTTGGGACCGTACTTTATGAAGACCAGCCTGTAATCTGTATATATACACATTTTTTAATCATTTTTTTAAAATAATTTCAAACAAGATCAAAAAGGTTGTCCACCTGAGCTGCTCCGCTGCCGCTTCCCGGGAAAAACATGCCGGAACCCACCATATGCTGCCGCAGCCACTTGCCACTCCTCCAGCACCACCCCATCCATCTCAAACTGGTGAACTCCGCTGGACCCATCATAGAAGCACCCTTCTGGGAAACCACCAAGGCTTCGGCCAGGTGGTTTGGTTTTCCGGCGGCCAGCCCCCACCGGCACATTCCGGAGGGCCCCTCCTGCCGTCCAATACCTCTGGCAGCCCTTGCAGAAATGCCTAGGCTGGTTAACGTTGTAGTTATTGAAGTAGCAAAACTTGGTTTCCATACTCTTGCATCTTGGACACGGTATGATCTTGTCCGGCCGTTTCACCGTCTGCTCCGCCTTATTCTGTTCTTCCTTCACCTGTCTTCCCTGCAAAGTAATTGTTTTCCCAAATAACTTGATCCCTTTACCTTCTTCACGGGCAGCCATGACCATATGGGATTGGGAGAGAGGAACAGAGAGAAAACAGAGGATTTGTTTGGTTGGGGTTGAAACTTGAAAGTACAAAGAATTGAGGGGTATTATTTATATATGGAGAAGACGGCTGGGCTAAAAGTGCTTAAACCCTGCATGTGAAAAAGCCGCCGAAAAATTCCAGGTTGGTGGCGTGGAAAAGCTGGGAATGGTTATTGCCACACAACTTCTTCCCTTGTTTTTTTCCTTTTTTCTAAGACCAAGTAAAATATATATGATTACTAAAAATAATTAATAATTACAGTAATTATTAATGAATATTGTAACAAGTAATATTTTTTATTTTTAATAGATATAATTTAATTTTTTAATTTTTAAATATAAAATTTAGATAAAAATTTAATAATTAATATTATATAATTTAAGTTATATATAATATTTTTTTTATAATTGTTAACTAATTATTTCAATTAAACTCGTACTTGGGCGCAT